ACTAAGAAAATGCAGAAAAGATTAATCCCAAGCTGTGCCATTGCTGGACACCTAGAGATATAGGAAAGACTTCCATGTACAGGGGCGGAGTAATAAGTAAGAATTTATCGGGACACCAAGTGCACTTTCTTGGTGCCTGACATCTCCATAGGGGAAAAAGTAGACAGCCAAGCAGTGCCTGGGGCACTGTAATGGGGTGGGCACCAGGATATAGGCCATCCAAAATGTGAGGAGTCAGATACCTTGCTAAGTACGCACGAGGCATGTCCAACTGATATGATTTGTATTAGAAGCCACACACTTGCAATAACATATATGATAGACAAACAAAGGCGAAAAATAATTTATGTAGACTTACCCGCAAACACGTCCATATTGACCTTGACCTCCTGATTGCTTCTTATGCAAATAATCAAATTCAGCACGTTGGGTGACTGTCTCCCTAAAATTAACTCGAGGTTTCCCAACTTTTGCATCAACCTTTGACATGAAACATTTAAAATGTTGATAAATAAGCAATCATGTATTCTTCAACAGTATAGACTGTAGAGGCAATTAATGCTTCAACAACAAAAAAAGCAATCCAAATTATACAAGAACCAAATTAACCTAAAAATGTAACTAGTCTTGAACCATAAAGATGCAAAATCAATAATGCCAAGTAAGCTCCACTGAACTAGAATAAGCAAATAAATCTTTCATCAGGAATATAGACCAGGCTGTATAACGAAAATATGCAACTTAGATGCAAAGAAGGAAAAGAAATTCACCTTGTACTCTCTCCGAATGCGTTCAACGTAAATGTCCAAATGCAACTCTCCCATCCCCGATATAATAGTCTGCAGGTAAGATGTTTCCATTATTATCTCAAGGCATATTGAAAGGTCCAGTAAGAGAACAAAACTGTACAGACCTGCCCACTCTCAGCATCCAAACCAACTCGAAATGTTGGGTCCTCTTTCTGAAAGCGATTCAAAGCTTTTGAAAACTGGCAAAGGAAAATATAAGTTCAGTCATCAGCAAAATTTTGCACACCTTTCAAACTGAAATGATGTTAACCAAAGAAAAATTACTTGTCCCCCAGAGTCCTTGGAGACAGGTGAAAGAGCCAAGGACATCACTGGCTCAGGAACATTCATTGAAGTCATGGTATATCTGACAGATCCGTCTGTAAATGTATCACCTGGTGAAATGTAATAAAACAAGATTAGTTTAATAAACTGGCAGAATTAAACACTATCAGAGTGAAACAAACAAAGAAAGATGATTAGAGGCAGATTACCTGATGCACAATCTACACCAAAAACAGCAACAATCTGCCCAGCATAAGCTTCCTGAATATCCTGCAGAACATAGATCCCGGACACAGATCATGTAAGACAGATAAAAACTAGAAATTATACACATAGGACATGGTGAAGATATAGGACAAGCAAAATCCGTAGCTAAAAACGTACACAAATTTGCAATTACAAAAAATAAGAACTGACCTCCATCTCATTGGAATGCATCCGAACTAACCTAGGAACCTGACAGAAATGAAGTTCCAATTAGCATTCTTATAAATAATTATCCAAATAATATCAAACCTAAGTTATAACAAGAAACAGTGGACAAAAAGCCATTAAATATCACAAGAAACATAAAAACAAATTAATTATAAGAAATATAGTCTAATTGACAGAATCAGAGTCATTCACCAACATTATGACTCCCACAACCTGCAGTTTCCTATCCTCCTAGTTTCAACCAAAAACATACATTGCACTTTTGACAAAGTGAAACAAAAAGAAGAATGTAACTTCCATCATAAGAGGTTGGCAACAGAATCCCTATCAAATATCAAGGTTGAATTAGTTTAAACATGATAATGGTAGAAATGGAACTCATTTATCCGACAAAGGGCTGACCAAACTTTTACATTTGATCCTTAAACAATCTTACTCGATAGTATATTGGCTAAGGTATGGATCATACAAAGAGATCTAATTTTTTGGATTCAAATAACTGAAAATCAGAAAAAGAAAAATCAAATCTTGGTATTCAAGTGGATCCCAGTTTCTTGGTCGGTTTAGATACACAGGTAATATCTACAAAGTTACAATGATTTGCAAGTGGGAACACAACAAATTACTAATCTTCATTACAAATTTAAAAAAGTAATGCCTTTATTTCTGGGATTACCAAAATGAGCCAATAAGCACATTTTTAATACATTGGATAGGAATATTGGGCTTGGATATCTGAAGTAAGAAATATATAAACTTTAGATACTCTAAGTGGATTCTAGTTTCTTAGTCAATTTAGATTCACACGTAGATCCTAAATTTATAATGATTTGCAAATGGAGCCAGACCTTTGCCGCCCCAAATTATATTACTCTTAAAAATAAAGTCTTTATTTCTGGGATCGCCAAACAAGAAATGAATCAACAAGGTCATTTTTTAACACACTGGTGTTTCAGCCACAACAAAACAAAACCCATGATCCATCAATACACAAGCTTCATTGTGTCAGCTGATCTGCAGGGCAGAATGAAAGAAGTACTCGGTATCAATTACTTTTAGCAAGTCACATACCTTAATATGAATCTATCTAGTTGGGACTGAAATTTCAACCAATACTTTTTGACAAACAAGGTGACCTTATTTGAGAGCTTCTGTTAAATCCCCAGTATAAATCTAACTTATTTGATATGGAGCATACATTTCAAGATCAAATTAATTTCCAGGATTCAAATCATAAATTGGAGAAACAAATATAACTTACCTTAATCTTCTTCCCTGTATTTACGTTGATGATGAAGTCTCCCTTTTTTATGACACCCTCATAGATCCTGCATATCAGATCACGTTATTTACTATCACGAAGCAGCTAGTTTCAAATTTCCAACCTTGACAACACTTCATTGATGCAGTCAAATTGCAGCATATAAAACATAAATATAACCAAATATCTGTACCTTAGGTACGTTAATTGACCAAACCGGCCTTCTTCCAATTTAAAAGCCAAAGCAACAAGGGGCCCAGCTGGAGTTCCAGTTAATGAAATCTAAAAACAACAGATCCAAGATAAAACAATCAGATCCTACACTGCACTACAAGTTGCATGCAAAAGATAACAAAATAAGTAGTCAAACTCTTTGATTCTCAGGGTTCCTAGTACCTTTTCCTCAGAATTATTTTGGTCAAGGGCGTGATTTTCAACTTCATTAGGGCAAGGCAAATAATCGAGCACCCCATCAAGAAGAGATTGGACACCCTAGAAACATCAAATTGCAAAAAAGAGATTAATAAATTTAACAGTTCTCTCGAAGAATTGGACAAGCAAGAATATAGCATAACCTCCCTCGGAAATACAAGCACTGCAACATTGAGAACTTAGAATAAGTGATATGTCAAAATACCTAAAATGGACAGAGAAAAGATTACAGACTCACTGAACCTCAAGTGTAAAAGGTACTATTGAATCAAAATCCAATCATGAATCTAGTATACTAATCAATACTTGAATTATTACTAACCTCAAACCAATACATACACATAGACACACATAACCAAACATACACAACTACACGCACAGCCTTTAGCAACCCCCACGTGTGCCCTAATCATAGATTCATAATGATTGCTATATTTCAACTTACAAAAATTCATCGTAGTAACAGTCATTTAGACATTCTATGATTTAACTAACCAGAATGAAGAAGTGACAACAAGTGTGTCCTTTATGAAATTTGCTTGTCCATACAGTTTTTGCTTGATTTCAGGCAAACTCGCACTGTTTAGAAAATACTGTATTGCCCCCACATTCAACATTATACAAATGTCAATGGTATATTACAAAAATTCTTTGACTTAGTGGATAACTATCCATGCTTCAATTCTACTTTTTCCTGAAACATTGCCTTCCCCACACTCCCTAGTCTCACAATGGCCATCCAGTCAACAAGGTGATTGACAAGAATAATGTTGAAAATCTCTAGTTGCATGTTGATTAGCGAGGATAAAGGCTTCACACTCCTGTCATCTTCATTCCAAGGATTAGTTTTTACTAACAAGTGCTCAACAAGTAGAAAGAAGATCTCTCGATCTAACAAAGTAAACGCCAACTATTCACTTTTGCTTCTTACATGACAGCACACCCATTTGATCAGTGATTAGAATACAAACTCAACAGGAAAGGAAATTATCCAGCTACTTAGGCTTCACCTAGGCACCCACAGGAGGAAAATTCACTGAGAAGACCAGAAGCCACTTCCCAAATCTAGTGCTTTTTCATGAACAACATATTAGTATTATTTTATTGGGTTTGTTCATATTAGACCATAAATCTTCATTGTTGTAATTTAATCCTGTCTCTATTTTAGGCCCCCAAATCTTCATTATTGTAACTTACACCCCCCCAAACCCATCAAGTTGTTCTAAATAACACCCACATATTTGTAATTTCCAAATCCAAATCTAAATCCATCAAGTTATTTTAAACAACATCCTTGTTTTGAATATATATGCGTGCGCGCGTGCGTGTGTATTATTATTAATTTTTTTATTTTTTTTTTATTTTTTTTTGTTGGGGGGGGG